GCGCCCGCCCCTCCTCCCCTCCCTCGCGGCGGCCCGGCCCGCTGCAGCCGCAGCCGCGGTGCTCTGCGCCCGCCCGCCTCTTTCTCCTCCGGGAGGCGCGTGTGCGCGGGCGAGGCCGAGGCGCGCGCGCACCTTGAGCCCCGCGCCGCGCCCGCCCGGCGCGCCCCTGCTCTCTCTGCGTTGCTCCTCGGGGGTCCCGCGGCGCTCGCAGGCCGCGCCGCCCCTTTCCTCGGACCCCTGCGGCCCGCCTGGCCTCCGGCAGCCGGGTGATGTCCGGAGCCGTCCTGCGAGAGGGAGAGAATGGCAAGGCGGCGGCGCCGAGTGAGGGGGGATGCTGAGCCGTGCCCGGCCTGCCGCATCCCTCTGCCGCTCGCCCTCGCCCGGCCCCACCCGGTCCTCCCCTGGCTGCACGCACTTCTTTTGCGGCCCAGGATACATTTGACCCTGCTCGGCGCTCCCGCGGGCGGTGTGCACGATGCGGACCTGGGGTGGGCGCTGGGCAATTCCCTGGCCGCCCCAGGCGCGGTGAGAGTTAAGCGTGCAGCCCGCGGCAGCGCCGTAAACAAATCCTTCAAGCTATCTGGAGTCAGTAAGTTAAGTGAAATAAAGGGGAAGCGCGGAGGAAACCTCTTCTCAGCTGCAGTTTGGCCTACAGTGGGGGTCCCACCCATCTTCCAACTGGTCGGTCCCTGAAAACCAACCTACTTTCTTTTTCTTACAGGGAAGGGGGACAGATGAGGCCTCAAACTTCCCGTCCCATCTCCTGTCTGGAGAGGGGTTAGATTATCAGCTAAAAGGATGATAGAGTATCATTGTGGCTCTTAAAAAATCAAGTACTTGTTATTATTACTTCCCTGATTTTAAAGGCCGCTTGCTTTTCCCCCTCGCTTACTTTTGTAGACATGCTGAGAAGCGCATGTCTGCATCGGTCGTAGCTGTTTCTCCACGGCTGCCCTAGAACCGGGAACGCTTCCACGGCCCCCTGACTCTCCTGACCTCTTGGCTAGAGCTCCGGGAGCCTCACTCAGGATTCTCCAGAATTCCTGGAGAGAGCAGCACAGAGCAATGCAGCTGTACCTCACCATTTCACCAAATTCCCTGCCTTAAGGGAGGCCTTTCCAGGGCTCTCCCCTTTGTTCCTTTTCTGGACGAGAATAAACCGCTGACTGGGGCCGCCAGAAATTTAGACCTCCTCGGGTAGAAGTCACAAGATCCCTTCAGGGTCAAACCTAGGAGTCACCCTCCTCACCTCTGAATGAGGATTAACAAACTAAGTTCTGAACACAGAAGACCAAAAGGCCAATGAAAATTCTTTCTTATTTGAGATTGTATTACAAAATGCTCCTCCCCACCCCCTTCTTCCCCAGCTCTGAAGTAGCCCTTCCTTCGTTAGCATCCGTAACTAATGTGCAAAATGTAAAACGGCTAAATTAAGGCAGAGTCCGCATCAACATAGTCTGAGAAAATGGAATTGTTACTTTACAAGCGTACAACTCCCAACCTTAATAACCCCCCTTAATAGCTGAAGGCGGTAACAAGGCTACGAAAGAACAGAGAGAATATGAATATAGGAAAAAGGGCAGGTGTGAGGGGCTGGCTTCCCAAACCCCAATCTACAGTGTATTTGGAGAGGCGGAAAGAAAAAAAAATCTGTCTTCCTAATATTTCCTTAGCATAAGCCTTGTTGGAAATGTTTGCTTTGGCAAAAGTGAGACCGACACACTGAAACAGCATTCCCAGGAACAAAGGCTGGGTGGGGGTGGAGAGTGGAGGGTGGAGGAGAGAGCAAGAAGAACATCCCCTCTCTGGAAGAACAGCAAGTTCCGAGGCCTGAACAAGAAATGTGTCCCGTTCCTGTGCTCCTGGCTGCAGCTGGGAAGCTTCTCCAGAAAGGAGACCTCCCAGCTCTGGAGGGGATCTGGCTCTCCTTTCCTTCCCACCACTTCTGTTTATACAAAGGAGGGCCGCTGAAGAACAAACAGAACCATGTTTACTGCGAGTCTCATGCTGTGTTTGAAGCTCAAGATACAGATTTGCCCTCACCGCAGAGGCTGAAGATAAATGGGCCCAGAAAAGGAAGGGAGAAGAGACTGGGTGGTATAGAGCTGGATGAGGGGTTTACTCATAAAAGGCCCCTCCAAAAATGCTATGTTGTAATGGACAGATTTATGTTTGAATTTAAACTCTGGTGCCTCAAGTTAATAGATGAATGTACTCGCACGTAAGCACTTTCACACTGTGGATATTTTAAAATGTTTCTTTAGGAATAGTTCTTATTTTTTGTTTGGGGCCCCTAATATAGGGATAGTTGCATTAATACTTTATTTCTAGTTAATGTTTTTGTGTCTAGTGTCCACTTGGAGAGGGAGGGCTTTTGAGGAGACCCAAATAATAGTTGTAGGTACTGTTTTTTACTAAGCTGTCATGAAAATAATTTAATAGTTTTTACAAGTAAAATATAGAACAGTTAATGAGAGCCTTTATGTGGAGATCTTTATTATTATTATTATTAATCTGTTTTATGAAGCTGTTCCTATTATACTCTAGCCCCTGGGTACACAAACCAAAATGAGCACTTAATCTAGTTGTCAAAATTTTAAATCCTTAAGACAAAGCAGAAAAAAGGCTTGGACTTTTTGGGATTAGGACGTCAGAACTAAAAGGGAAGATTTTTTTTTTAAAGGAGTAAGAGACTACCTAAATTAAAAATAAAAATGAAAAGTAAGTGTTTCCTATGAAGCCGTTGTAGCTTTTGTGCACCTATAGCCCTTGTGACGTAAGGGGCTTTTCTTTCCACCTGGATGCAAGCAGTACCACTGCGAGCTGAATCAACCCCTCCTCTCAGGAGAGGGCTGCCGAGGGAGGGAGCTAAGTGAGAGGAGCTGCTTGGCCTCCTAGGTCAGGTTAGTTTGTTTGGGCTACATCTATGGAAAAAAAGGGGACTAACAAATGAATCCTGCTCAGTCTGGGGCCCTACTCACATTCTGCCAACATGGAACTGGAAACCTCTTACACAGACCCAGAAGCAGATCTTTGGTGTCTAAGATCTCTCCTTAGGTATTATTTGAGAGAAGAGAAACCTTGCATAGCTTTATTAATTCATGTCTTATTCCGAAGACACAGCTGTAACTCAGAGGTCACTTTCATGACCAGGTGGGATTTTTTTCTCTATATATAATCCCAGTATTCCCACAGAAAAGTATGTCTGGCCAAAAGCCAGCTCTGCATGTGGTCATGCTGGAAGGTGCTGGGCACACCCTCAAACTCCCCCAGCTCTGATTCCATCTCCTCCAGCATTGTTTGTAAGGACACTGTTCTCTCCTGTTCCAGCAAAGCTACAGACGCATCACTCCATCTGCTTCTCCTTCCAGAGGCTTCTTGGGTGTTTGTAACTGTATCTAGGGATTCCGGGATAAACCCTCTAGGCTTTCAGTTTACAAATTGCATGCTAATATGTTAAGCCCCAGGACAGCATGGATTTTAAATTCACCCAGGAGCTCTGTGTCTTCAGGCCTTGTCTTCTCTCTCCACAGGTATCTCAGAGTGGTTGTAGGCTGAGATTCGAGGTGCCTTTCTTTTTCTATTTTTTTTTCATCATTCACCAGGTCCTGAGCAGATGGTGTGGCTGTACTGGCTGTCATCACTCCTCCTATGTTTCCATGGAAACATGGGGCATAGGGACCATCTCCGCCTTGGGCTCTCTGACAGTATCCTCTAGTGGAGAACTTCAGCACTCATGTTCCTCCCCCTTGCCTGCCCGCTGTCCTGGAGAGTTGGAGAACATTCTGGGGCCCAGGGAGCCAAGGGTCATTTCAGAGATCATCTAAGGACATACTCCCTTCCAATGGTTGTGAACTGGCTGGAAAAGAGAGGGAGGGCAGAAGAGGGGGGACAATACCCCAGTTGGGTGATTGAAGCCCATTTATAATGGCAGCTTATTTGGGCAACCTGTCCCCTCAGCCAGCTTCCATAGTGGCTCATTATTGCCCAGATGTCAAAAGAGATGCTCCTTAGTTTCCCTCTGCTCATCAAGCAACATATATTTATTGAGTGTAAGTAGTTGCTGAGGTTTTACACTTCACTGACATTCTACCCCTGGGAATGTGCGTTCCTTTTTTTTCTTTTTCTTTTTCTTTTTTTTTTTAACAAAACCAGGTTTTCCCTAAGGAATGCACCTTCCTCAAAGTTTCCAACATCCTCCTGGCTACATAATTCACTTATACAGCCACTACGACATTAATTAGATTCAGAAGTCCATGGAAACAGCAGAGCTAGGCAAGGTCAGAGGGCAAGCAGGGCAGAGAAAACAGAGGGAAAAAGTGAGCCCTGGGAGAGGGTACGGAAGTGGGGGGAGATTTTTCATGCCCTTCAAGTGCCAAACAAGACAAAGGTCATTTCAAAGTGTGGTCAGCTACTATAATATTGCCTACAGAATTAAAATATTGCCAAATTGAAGAGTGCTTTAAAATAAAGATTGTGCATAAGAATTCTATGCATATATGTCTTTGGTGTTAGTTGCTCTTTATACAGCTGGTACAAAAGACTGGTATGTGAAGCTTACCACATTTTTAAAAAGAAAGATAAAGCAGGCACACTTCCTACAGTTGAAAATGCAGGCAAGAAAGACATATACTGTTCATAAAAGCGGATCAAGAAAGTATCTCCTATCACAGATCATGTACTTCATCCCATGCTGACCTATTTT